TTGAGCCCAGGAGTTGGAGGTTGCTGTGAGCGTGATGCCATGGCACTCTACTCAAGGGGATAGCTTGAGGCTCTGTCTCAAAAAAAAAAAAAAAAAGATTGTTCCATTTTTGAGACAGGGTCTCATTTTGTCACCCTTGGTAGAGTGATGTGGCATCACAGCTCACAGCAACCTCAAATTCTTGGGCTTAAGCAATTTTCTTGCCCCAGCCTCCCAAGCACCTGGAAATACAGGCTCCCACCACAATGCCCAGCTACTTTTTTCTTTTCAGAGATAGGGTCTTGCTCAGACTCAGGCTGGTCTTGAACTCGTGAGCTCAAGCAATCCATTTGCCTCGGCTTTCCAATAGAAGATTATTTTCTCCCAGCCCCTCTTCCCATCTAAATTTTACCAATCCTTCTGAAATCTCTTTCTCCCAAGAATTTTTATCCCTCCTGGCCTGCATGGACCATGTTCAACACAGTCAAAAATAAGGACAAGAGGGAAAGTGCCTGTGGTTCAAAGGAGTAGGGCACCAGCCCCATATGCTGGAAGTGACGGGTTCAAACTCAGCCAAGGCCAAAAATTGCACAAAACAAAACAAAACAAGGACAGGAGACTCTTTGCCAAAGTTAAAAGCGCATCAAACACGCCTAGCATTTATTATTTTAATCACAAACCTACAGACCCCCTCAGTACACCCTCCTTAGGGCCTGGCCCCAGCAATCCAATGCTGACAACCTTGGGTGTAGGTGGTAGGAGGGGTGAGAATGGACAGGGAGTGTCTCTTGATAACTCTGAAATGAAGCGATTCCTCCAAATGGAGAACCAGGTGGGGACCAGAGGTTGGGGGTGACCTAACTTCTGAATGGGGGGGGGGTCAATAAAAAAAATCAGATAAACAAACAAGGGGATACAATATGCTTTTGCAACCCTCCTCCAAGCCTCTGCCTTGGTGGAGGAGGCTTCTACATTTCCCTGGGCTGGGGAACTCCCAAGAATGGCCCCTTCCTTCATCCTGTTCCTCTACACATTGAAAAATCAATACTGGGAACCTGGTCTCAGTCCCAACTGATCCCTGTTGCTTCCCCAAATTGCCCCTCAAGGAAGAAGGCAGGACCCTGCCCAAGAGTGAGGGCCCAACTCTCATTCCAGATCTAAACCTGGAAAGTCAATTCAGAAGATTTTAAGATCTGCCATCTTCCCCAAGAGTGAGGTTAGCTTAGAGCCCTCCTAAGTTATATCAGGTTGGTCCCAGGTTAAGGCAGGGGAGGTTAAGTACCACTCCTCTCTGCAGTGTGGAATGCATGGATGGGATGTTTCTAGGGAAAAGGTGAGGACTGTAATCTCCACACTGGGTGGCCTGGTCCTACTGACTCCACATCCAAAATACCTGTGTTGGCTGTCCTTAGAAAGAAGGGGCGGGGCTTGGCTCCTCCATTCCTAGAATGCCAGGACTGAGTTCCCAGGGGAAGTGGGTAGGTCTCATCTTGACTTCCTTTCCTTGCCTGGGAAGGGCAAAATTCATGAGGAAGGGGCAAGGCTAGGAACTCTTATTTGATTACCCTTCTGTGCCAAGATACAGCAGACTGCTGGTTCCAAGATAAAGGATAGAACATTATCCTGACACCTTTTCCTAGGAGACCTGGCTAGAACAGTGCCTAAGGGACAGAGTAGGACCCCATCCACTCTCTTTATCTCACTTGGGCAAGGATGGTTCCCACAAGGGCAAGGGCAAGGGCAAGGGCAAGGCTATGATCCCCATAGTATCAGTAGACCCTGGTCTCATTGCCTTCTCCTTCTGAAATACCTGTACTGGGCTGTTCTTTTGGGGAAGGGGCAAAGCCTCACATCCTCTTCCCCCAGAATATCTTGGCAGGGCAGTCTCATGGGAGGGTAGGGGAAAAGGCAGGGCCCCATCCTGACTTGTCCTCCTTTCCTGGGTGGGGAAATCCCAGGGGAGGGGAGGCCTGATCAGGACTCCTCCTCCATGCTGAAGCTGCTGCGGCGGCTGCTGGCCTTGGAGACAGCAGGGGATACTGAAGACAGCAGAGGGTCAGAGGCAGCCCGAAGTGGGGACAGGGCACCTCCTGATAGTCCTCCCACCACCCCCTCCTCCTCCTCCATCAGAATGTCCTCGAGGCCCAGGTGGAAGGGGTCCCCCAGGTCCCCCAGGTGATCGCTGGGAAAGTGCAGGTCCAGAAGGGCATCCGAGGGTGGTGCTGGGGGCTGCTGATGGGGAGCATTCTGGGCAGGTCCCCCCACTACATGAAATGCTGTTGTGCCTGGCCTGCCTTCTTCATCAATGTCCAGCTGCTCTGGCTTCAGGCTGTCAGAAGCTGAAGTTGTGGCCAGGGAGAGCAGCCCTGGGGTAGGAGGTACCGGCAGACCATGGATCTGGGCCTGCAGTTCTAGCTCCTGCAAAAAGTAGGAGGTGGGTGCAGGATAGGATGGGGTTCAGAGGCAGAGGAATATAAATGCTACAAGGACAGTCTGCCTAGGTTGGAATTTCACCTCTGCCACTCACTAGTTGTGAAACTTTAGGGCAGTCTCTTAAAGTCCCTGAGCCTCAGAGTCCCAATCTGTAAAATGGGTATAATAACGGTCCCTATTTCATAGGATTATTGTGGGGATTAAATGAGTTAATGGATACAAAGCTCTTGTCTCAGTGCATGGCACAAGATAAATGCTATGTACGTTAGCTAATATTCATTATTATTCTTGTAAATGTTATGATTATTACTTTTCCTCCTCCTCCTCTGAGGTAGGAAACCTGTGGTCCCCCCCCCACAATATGCCAGGAGGGGAAACCCTGTCCAGTTCTTCCTCTGCCTCTCACCCCCACCTGGCTACCATCTCCCCTTCCAGACCTGAATTCGGAGCTGCAGGCTGCGGTTCGCCTGCTCCAGGGATCGCTGCCGGCTCTCCAAGTCTTTGGAGCGCTGTTGCTCCTTCTGCAACTTGCGGATATAATCCACAGAGGCCTTCAGGATGGTGCCCTTGTTCCAGCGCATCTCTCTGCAGGGCCCAAGTGGGAGGAAAGAAGGGCAAGCTGCATAAGGTGTTTCTCAAGAGCTGAGCCAGGGATTGTACCAAGCAGACAGAGAACATCATATACATGTCTAGAGCTCCAGGTGGGGTTACATCAAGGCAATGGAATGCTTAGATGAAAGCCCCTACCTTGAACCTTCCAACAGTGCTCCATTATACTCTGAACCCTAGAAACCCTCTGTCACATGACCTCTTATGGCTCCTCTCTCACCTATGCCTCTTTGATTTATCTCACTACAGCCACATTGGCCTCTCAGTGCTGCTAGAACATGGAAAACTATTCCCATGTCAGGAACTCAATCCCAGTTGTGTCCTCTGCCTTCAACATTCTTCCCCTACACACCCACATGGCTTCCTGATTCACCTCCTTAAGACTCTATTCAAAGGCTCGGCGCAAGCGGCTAAGGCGCCAGCCACATACACCTAAGGTGGTGGGTTCAAATCCCCAGCCTGGGCCCGCCAAACAACGATGGCGGCAACAACCAAAAAATGGCCAGGCGTTGTGGCAGGCGCCTGTAGTCCCAGCTGCTTGGGAGCCTGAGGCAGGAGACTCGCTTGAGCCCAGGAGTTGGAGGTTGCTGTGAGCGTGATGCCATGGCACTCTACCCAGGGGGATAGCTTGAGGCTCCGTCTCAAAAAAAAAAAAAAAGACTCTATTCAAATACTTCCTTGTCACTTGAGGCCTGTTCTATCCCCACCCTCCATATCCCAAGGTGTAATCCTCTGCGCATCATTCTCTTATTTTCCTTCTATTTTTTATTCTTCTCTTAACACTCATCATAAGAGATTTTTTATTTTTACTTATTTTATCTTGTCTTATTGTCCATCTGCCCTCACTAAAACATCAGTTCCACAAGGAACTTTGTCTATTTGGTTCCCTCTGGTATCTTCAGGATTGAGCATAGTATCTGGCACAAAGCAGAAGTTCAATAAATAAATCTTGAATAAATAAAAGGACATACTAAGTGAACACAAATATATCTATCTATCTATATCTATATCTCTATATATATATCCTATAGAGACCAGACAGGACACAGAGACTATAACGTCATGCACCTAATATTTTAAGTGGGGAACAGTGAGGCCTACAATCCAGCTTAGGCTGAGAAAGAACCAGAGGAGAACATCCTGGACAAGACTGGCTGACAGTCCCCCAAAGCAAAACTTTAGCAACATGGAGCTACCACCCCACCTCCCATTGGCTTGAGGTTCCCAGCCAGACTCACGGGTCACTGGACTTGGGGATGAGAGTGCCCAGCTCTTTGATCCTATCGTTAATGTTGAATCGCCTGCGACGCTCAACTTTGAAGGAAGGGGGAGAGAAAGAAAGAGCAAGAAAGAGTCATTAATCAGCCAAGGAGGACAGAGACAGAAAGGGGATCTGGAACTCAGGGCAAGGCAGGGCTGCACAGTGCCTGGGCAAGGTCACAAGTTCCCTGGCTTACTCAGGTTGTGATTGTCTTTCTTCTGCCGTTCCTTCAAAAGGGCTTTTGCCTCCGTTTCTGGAAAAGAGTGAGGGTGGTCAGGGCTTCTGTGCCCAGAAAGAAGAGAGCAGGCAGCGCCTGTGGCTCAAAGGAGTAGGGCGCTGGCCCCATATATCGGAGGTGGGGGATTCAAACCGGCTCCAGCCAAAAACTGCAATTAAAAAAAAGAAAAAAGAAAAAAAAGGGAGCATGTGCAGATGCTGAGGTAGGATTTGGTAGGCTGAGGAAGTAATTTTTTTTTTTTTTT